AATATTTGTCGGATTATCCGGATACCAATAGTAAATGGATATCCGGATAAATTCAGATATGGATAAATGGATGACGGGTTTATCCGGATTGGACCTCTATAATCTATGTAATTAAATACCTTCGATCAACATTTTACCATCAACTAAATCCAATGATCTGGCAACTTTAGTGATTGTTATTAACGCATTTAATCGATAATGTTCATCTTTCACAAAACCATTTGATAATCTCTCATATTTAATTATATTCAAGATTTTCCAGAATGATAACGAATCAATTTTGAATAAAGGTTTTAAAATAAAGCTACCAATATTCTTGCGCAGAGTATCATTAGGTGATGTAAGGCACTGACATACAGGTGCTAACCATATGTTAATCCAATCATTAGTTACAGTCTATAATTATAAAAGCAATGTGCATTAATTAAATAGGTAACGTTTATGGCCGAAATATATAATTGTAATTCAAACCTCTTTCTGTGTATCAGGAATTTTTTTCTTTTCACTGTTATAGTCAATTTGTTCAATAGATGTATCTAGTAACTCTTTTAAGGACTGCTCGAAAAAAATCGCAAGCAGTTGGGAAGATCGTGGCGCAATTGTCGTATTGTGTAATACCTCTAAAGTCCGCCACACAAAGTCAGCCTGAATCTTAAGAAATGCATTTGTTCCCACTCTAGGTAATAGTAAAAGTAACAATACATATTTCACTTTACGATATGGATCCATTGCTAATAATTGTCTTAACAAATTATTAAAGGACTGATTATAAAAATCGTCTGTGTTTTCATATTTTCTCTTGATACTTAAAATATCTAATAATTTTTCAAAGATTGTCTTCACCTATTAATAAAAAGAGTATTAACAAATTAAGTTAAATAAACATTAAATTACAAATAATTTAAACACCTTGTATTGTATAGCATCAATAGGGTCATCACAATTATTCCAAACATAAGACATTAGTTTATCTAAATTCTGAGAATCAAATATAGCTTGAATTTCTAAAACTTCTTTATTTTCGACGTTAGAATCTCTCAAGACAACCTCGGTTTCTTGAAGCCACAAACCCATTGTTTCAAATGCAGAAATTTTTGTTTGAGAAGTAATCGCATTATCACAAAAATAAGTAATACTCAAAAATAATATATGATGGAGTGATGATGGTTTGCAATTACTATAATTATATTACGAAAAATAATAAATAATTTATTTGTAATAGTTTGCTGG